ATTCGCACGGGCAGCCCGTGCGTTAGCCAATTATTATTCGTTCGGTGCAGCTGTTTAGCACTGAGATGCCAGACTGTAAAACTGTTGAACGGGTTCGGCATTATTTTATGAGTACATGTACTTGTCCGAAAATTGATCTCTTCTGGCAGTATTTTTCTGGCTGAAGCTGGACACGCAGCTCATGCAAAATCCATGTGCACTGAAGAAACACACTTACATGGCAGCCAGTTGACATAACACCTCAACATTATTTAGCAAAATATTCTGTAATTTGTAGAAGCATTCCAGAGCAGCTTCCAATTTGCCTTGCAGCCGATAGACATATCCAAGATTGTACAGTGCTTGCACACAGGATGCCTGCAACTACTGCTGCTAAGGTAAACTTATTATGAAAGGCTTCTTCTTGATAGGTACATCGATCTGTGTTGCAGACAAAATTATTTGATGATGAGCGCCTTTAGCGAGTGTGGTGTAGCAAAATGTCGGCAGTTGCTAGGAATAGCAAGACTGCGTGAACAAACGGTGTGGATTTTCCATGTCAGTATGATGTTACTGAGATGATTCCACGCGGGAAGCGCATCTAGGCGAATAGCAAATAATCAAAAACTTTCAGTGTGTTGTCTCTACCTAGACTGAAGTCTGGTGGCCATCTTAATACTCACACTTTGCATAACGCTTGCTGGACTAAAAGAAGCAGACGCTCACTAGATATGCCAAGAAAAAAGTAATTTGCTTCAGCAGTCACAGCTAAGGGTTTTTTGAAGCGAAATACGGGCATTTTTGCCAGAATCCGAATCGATAGGTACTAGAAAAACTATCAGCGTAAAGATGGTGTGCCAAGTGAAGCCAAGCTTCTCCGTGTGAAAGGCGCTTACTTCGTTGCTTAATGCTTCCTTGTAGTACTGTGCAGCTTTTTCGATATCTCCGAGCACAAAGAATATGTTACCGCGATTCACCAAAGCACTGGCATTGTAGCGATCCAATGAGAGCGCCTGCTCACAGTACTGTACTGCATCTTCCAACTTTGATGGTCCTTGCTGCAATATTCGATATATTACAATTATGAACACGCAACAGAAGGGAACGGACAAGAAGTCTACTGATTGCAACTGAAAAAGGCAATATTGTTTTTTCGCCACAAATTTTGTTGGCTTCCAAATTGTGTCACTTCCAAGGGCAACAGCAGCTTGACCAGTATCAGTATTTTGCATGGATAAGTTCAGCAATGCTGGAGGAAACACCCTCAAGGCTTTAGCCTTGCAAAGGGACTCCGCTCGTAAAATACCCTGGCGCACCCATCCATTCTAATATGTTTACACATGATCGCACCGCTCGTTCGATTCTTGCTATCATTTTGGTAGGGTTTTGTCAGAGTAATAATTGTACTGATAAAATATGAGCTAACGGACTGGGAAACAGACCAGAAGATTGAGAAGCGCGAGATTGTTAGCTGCCGCACCGGTCACCTTACTCTCCTTGTTGTTGAATGACACCAGCACCTCAATCAAATACAATTACTTAACCACACTATGTAATTAAAATTCAGGAAGATACGAAGAAAAATTCATCGCTTTGACTTTGCCCAATTTCGTTTTCAGTTAATTCCAGCGCTTCTTCTTGACAGTTTTTTCATGATATTTATTGCAAAATTGAATTTACATCCAAAAAATCTTTTCCAAAATTTAAATGGATGCAGTACTTACAGAGCAGTTTCAGAACTATGTGAATCTTACCTGTGATGCAGTTTCCAGATCACCTTGCCGAAGCAGCGCAACTGCTTTACTCAT